CCCCCCCCCCCACTCTTCCTGTCCCATGCATAAAGATATGAAAAATCCTTGTTCTGAAGTATCTTTGAGCATGGGTTTTAATAGATTTTTTTGTGTGTTTGTGATTGGTTAATTGTGGATGAAAATTGTAACCCTACTTAAAAAAGAACTGCTTCTACAGGGATTGGTCTKTTACATGTATTATCTGAGTTGGACTAATGAATTGAGTTATTTGAATGCAGTTTTTTTATTACCAGGTTGGTACTTAGTCAGTTGAGTTCAGAGACACTTCACAGTCTATTAGATGAAATTATCTTCAAGATATCAACGTCAGAGGAAACTTTGATTGGAAGGTAACTATTTAGTCTCCTTAACAGCCGTTTTTAGTCTTGCACCAGTGACTTTTTTGTGTCTGAATTAAACTTATGATACAGTCCCACCGTGACTATGATGATATCGTGTTGAGGATTTTCATTGGCAGACCAGTGATTCACGGCAACACCCCTAATGAGGATCACTTTAATCTCAACATATTTTGAGTTTGAATGAAAAACAATAAAGAGTTTTAAAGTTTTTGGAGAATGAACTTCACTAATCTTTTTATTTTTATTTTTTTGTACAGGGCTGCTACACGATTAATTCTAACAGCAACTGACCGTAATCCTGCAGTAGTGACCATACTCCTGTCCAGAAGATACAAGTAAGTAATGTATCCTAAACCTTGTAAGGCTTGCAGCAAGTATGTGGATATCCAAGCGGGCAGGGGTCTCAAGATGCACACGGTATTTAATAATTGCATTGTGTTGTTTTGAAACAATATACCCTTTGCATGTGACGTCAAAGCAGCTCGATCTGGGAGACAAAACAAAAGAATTCCAAGCTCCTGAGAATTGGAACCTATTGTTTTGTCCCCAAGATTGAGCTGCATTTTGGAAGACTCTCGGCTCAAGATTGAACTACAATTGAAATTCTTTGTTTGATTTTCCACAGGGGTCTTAAAGCATACCTGAGCAAATGGAATAACAAAGGGTTTGATGGTGACGTCAGAAGACTAGTTTCACTTCTAGAGGCTGGTACAGCTGCTGAAGCTGAACAAATGGTGTGTAATATATACTAGAAAGATGATTAGAAGGATGGACACTCATTTATGGACTGCRCTACTTCAAAAGTGCCCATTACAAGTGTCGAACCTACAGTTAGCCTGGGTAACGGCCCATGGGGGAGGGGGAGRGGGAGCCTCTACATACACTACCCAGCTATCAGGAGTGCATGGGTTCAGTTATCTAACCCCAGCCCCGGCCTCTGGCAATGCTCTTTTATTTGTTTTATGAATGAATATTTCAAACCCTCCCCGTGTATATGTCAAATCAACTTCTTCATCACATCTTTCTATCAGAAATCAAGTCGRTCAGCAACCATAATCCAAGCTTGCTTCCGAGGCTACAGAACTCGAAGGAACCTTGAAAGAGCCAACAAAGGAATAACCCTGCTGCAGAGGAAATTCCGTGAAAAGCGCGTTCAACGAGAACTGAACCGCGAACAACAGCGAGAGAGCGGAGAGAAGGCAATGCTAGCAGAGCAAAAGAGGATCCAAGGATTGAGGTCTTCTATGAGAAAGCAGTTGAAGATGTTAGAAAGTGTTCCAGCTCGTGAGGTTAATAAGTTTATGTTAGACAACCAAGTCCAAGCGGTCAGTAAGATCCAGGCGGGGTTCAGGGGAATGATGTGCAGGCGGCAAATGAAGTCTGTTAAAGAAGACTGGATGAGAACAAAGGCTGCAAAAACCATACAGAGACAGGTAAGTTAACGTATCTATTAGATACTGTCGTCATGCTTGCGACAGCAGGGACACCACGGGGACACGGAAGAAATAGTTTATTTTTTTGCGGAGTTAGGAAAACCGGGGAAACCGAAGCAATACCCTAGAAGCACAGTAGAGGACCAACAAACAACTCTACTCACTGACATTTACTGTAAAAGCAGGTTCAAAGATCCAAAGCTGATATTCTTTTTAATGAGGATGATGATGATGATTATGATGATGTTGATGATAATAACCGCCAACCGGTTGGCTCAGTTGGCATCGGACTTTCGTGCGGGAGGTTGTGGTTTGAGTCCCGGCCGGACCAACACTCAGGGTCTTAAAATAAAGTGAAAGTGCTGCCTTTGTAATTACATCTGCAAATGGTTAGACTTTCAAGTGGCTCGGATGACCACTTTTCGTACAAAGTATCCGAGAAGGGAGTAGAGAACAGGGTAAAAAATATACTAACATCCCCCCCTGTTTTATATCTTTCAGTTTCGCAGGTACTTGGAACAAAAGCAAGAGGCTGCTCCCTACCCTATTCCTCCTGGGCTAACAGACGCTCGTCGAGTCGAGATTCAGAATATCATTGTTGAACGCAGAGACAGATTCCCGGTAAGCATACACAGAAGGGACGGGTTAACAGATGATATCTCCCATCAAGGAACAAAATCAAATTAGTAAGAACCGTAGCAGGGTGAGGCTTAGTTAAAGCAGTGCTTAACAAACAAAAACTATATTTTATATTCCCCGTGATTTCATAAAATGGCTTCTTTTGATTTATTTTCTAATGTGGGTAGCTTTACGTTAACAGTAGACAACGTTCGATATAATAACATTCAGACTTGATTACGAGTCGTGTGGTACTTCAAGTACGTACAAACACGTGGATCACCGGATACATTTATTAGTAGGAATAAATCAATGTACCATATATGACGTTCCTACCTTACGGCAATAATAAGAACATTTTGGTAGAAATGTTAGTCAGTTCATTACTCAACAACATTATAATGAAATCTACAGGAATATATGTACTAATCCTTCTATATTCACACAGCCTAAACACAGAACTCAAGAAGAATTAAAAGAACTACATGAGAAGGTAAATACTTTATTTACATGGTACTTACTATCACTGTCATCACCTTTATCGATGAAATCCGAACAGATAGACAGACAGACAACTTTATTTAAACACGGTAAAAAACATCAGCTATATTATAAGTATAATTTAGTTAAAATTTAAACTGTTTTAGATGTTTGCCGCGTGGTAAATGACAAATAGAGGGGGAACAGCAGTCATTGATAGACGATCAATAATGGGTGATCCCCCCTCCTCCCCCGAGGGGTTACTCCGCCAGAATTTGGGTAGGGGTGTTCCGCTGGGATTCTGAAAGGGTTACCTTGTTTATGACAAAAAAACTTAAATTCGTAGACCCTGTTTATGACAAAAGATATAATTTATTGCACTGAGTTCCTGTTTCAATTATTATGTCATCTCGCGTATTGCTTTTTTGACGACCATAATAACCAGTTTCGGTTAATACGAAAGTAGAAACCCTAAATATGACAAGAAACTCAGGAAGAACTTGGAACTTGAGTGAAATTGCATACCCTGTTTATGACAAGAAGCTCGAAAAACCATACCCTGTTCAGCGGATCATCCCCACATAGTCTGTAAATGGGAGTTCATCCCCTCCCCCCATTCCCCCGGGGCTTATCCCTTAGGCCCACGTGTTTAACATTCATTTATCATTCTTATTAAACTTGTCCTCTCAACCCCGACGCAGTTCATTCTTGTTTTATACTCGCTACTTCTTTGTTTAGAAGCCTCGTATTCTCTCTTGTTCTTATCAGGCGCACGGGTTGCTTGCAAGTCATCTTGTGGTCCGTACAAAGACGAGAAAGAATGAACAAAAACGTGAAGCTCTGTTGACCAGACTAAAGATGGACACTGATCTACTTTTAGGTGAGTACTATTCAGCTGAACACAGTTCTTTGTCCCGTGGCTAACCACATACATAACTGAACCAGGAAAGCGAGTCGTGAATTGATAGGTGAAAATAATGACGTTCGTTCGAAGTGGTTAACATTACATTTCTAAACTTRGACATATACGAGTTTGTAGTTAATTTTCTCGTGTTGCAATTGAAGAGTTTTTTTCCTGGGCTTTGTTCCTCTATTAAATAAATTAGTGGTTTTAAACTTTAAAAATGCTTTCTATAGATAATTAATGGTTTTCAACCATTCCCAAGAGAATTAAATAACAAAAGACACGGCGGCCATGTTGGAGGATATAACAAAAGAATTCATTGACACTTCTTTTGTTAAGTTCCTCCAACATGGCCGCCGTGAAATCCATCAATAGAGCGTTTTTACGTGACGTCACACCGGCCATGTTGGTGTAACAAAATCTGTGTAGAATGTTTCTATTTTTCGGTACAACAAAATGGCTGCCTTCTCACGTGAGTGAAAACGTTCTATATAGAGCAACTGTTAAGTGACTGTGTGTAAGCCTTACGGTGTAGACCTGCCGTGATCGTGACAATACCTTGTCTAGCATTTTGATTGGATGAGCAGTAGAACACGCTTTGTGACTGGTTTAATTGGGAAATTGCGTACGTCACGTTGCCTTACCGTTGTACAGTCATGTACTCCACCCCACGGTACTAAGATYGTAAGTATGAGACGCGTTTGAAACATCAAACTCTAAACAAGTCGAGTGGGAGAATAAAAAATAAAACGTCGAGTGGGCTGGCTGCCTGCCTTCCATGCGTTTTAACGCAGTACCATTGGACCTTTAAGATATAGTAAAACTCGTTCACCTGTTTTTGTTTTTTAAATACCATCTAGACCTCGCTCATCAACATGAGTTCCAGTAGGTCAGTTTGTTGGAGCATCTAACTAGCAAACAGAAGGTCCGGTTGAAAATTTACATCTTTGAGTCTTAGAATGTTTGAATTTCTTGTTTTAGGAGCACCAGGGCTTCAAGATGCCTCGGCTGAGACAAGTGAGACCTTCAAGTCTCRATCAGCTCCTGTTATTGCTAAAGCTCAGCTTAGTCACAATGAAGAGCTGCGCAGATGCAGGGCACCTTGGTGGAAGAAACTATGGGATGAGGAATCAATAGAAGGACTTCATTTTGATGTTAACGAGAAGCAGGATGCGCAGCTTAATTTTTGACATCCAAGCACATCATTTGCTGCTATTTTCTTAATCATGGTTTGAAAAATTTTCTCTAGAGAGTCAAGAGACAAAGACATGGCAGCCATGTGGGTGGTTATAAAAGAGAACTGAAGCTAATAAAAAATGTTTTGTCGAAGAACACCAACATGGCTGCAATGAAGTACAGTGTAAGCGGGTGACGCGCAGACGTGTCTTGCATTTTGTACACTGTTATAAATAATGTCATGAATAAAGGCACATACAGATTATATCTTGTAGAGATGGGATCGGCTGGATATCCCTTCATACTGGCGTTGGGTTTGTGTCCTGCCCTCTCTGTCCCCTCTTTTCCAGACTTTCTGCAGACCAGATCTCAAAAGAAACTAACGAAATAATTTATTTAGTGCGTGTTTGTGTGATATATATGGTATGTAAATAAATGTTTAAAAAAAAATACATTTGCGTCTTAGTCTAGACTACGAGATTAATAGAGTGCAAACAATATAACCGTGAAACTTTAGTAATACTAAATAGCACAATTTCATGCAAATTCCATTGTTTTCTATTGTTTAATTATCACTATTTTGTACTATTTTGTAATTGGTGTTTCACGGATTAATTGTTTGCACTCTATACAGACTGCTGGTGAGGGCTATTCCAAGCTGATCTGAAATAGTGACGTCCTGCAAAACTGAGGTGTCATGAAGCCTGTGGGAAAATTGACCAGTGAAATATAAAAACATGCCCGCTATTGGAATAAAAATATATAACTCATAAAGTATTGTACCACTGTTATTATTGCATTTGGTGGGCTGGAAACCCTTGATTTCAAAAGGAAAAGTGATACCTTAGTTTTGCAAATTTTCTTGATTCTGATTGGTTAATATTTCACCTCGCTCAGATAAGCTGGATACAAATGCATATTTCGCAATAACTTGAACAGTCCATTGTATGCTTTGTCAGTGTTATTTAAGCCCTGTTTAAATACACTAGCAACTCCAGCGGCGATTTCAATGGAGATTTTAATGTAACCCCAAATCGTACATGTAAACGCTCACTGATTTTATGGCGATTTCAAGGCAATAAATCGCCGCAATTTCGAACATGCTCGACATTGAGTTCAAGTACTGATGATTTTTACTTGAACGTCACCATGTTCGAAGTTGCGGCGACTTCGCTACGATCTGCCGCCGTAAAATCTTCATTGAAATTGCCGCTCAAGTCGCGCGACAAAATTGCTTCACATACACAAACGTACATTGCAAACAATTTATCCGTGAAACACTATTTACTAAATTGTTCAAAATAGTGCTAGTTAAAAGAAAACATAAAATAGTGTAAGTTAGTATTACTAATATTTCATGGATATATTGTTTGCACTCCAATGTGCCATTCTTTTAGCATACCACTAGTAGTACACTAATCGGGGACTCTTGAGTTTCTTCGTAATGTTTACCACTAAGTGTGTTCATTCTTTGTTTTTCCGAAATAGCGTTCCGCTTGGACGGTCAAAAATTATCCTAATGAAATATCAAACTTAATGCATGTACATGCCCTTATCACGTTCAACGGATGTAGTTTCAAAAGTTTGCCTTGCGCCTTCCTGGACTGYGGGGGTTCCACAGCGTACACAACCTTTCACTTCTTCTACGAAGAATAATTATTATACACTTCACTCTACTAGACAATGAACACTCGTTAATCGTTAATCATCAGGAAATCATGACCTTGTTTCATAATGACATCGACCAAAACAAAGCACTATGTCACAAAGACAATCATCAAGAAAAGATGAAAACGTGACATTAAAATTTCATCAAATATTAATGAATCTGCTCCCTCCCCCTCATCTAAACAATAAGATGTCATTATGAAATGGAGGCTTTTGCAACCATCACGTGACGGCAGCCATGTTGGATGGCTGGAACAATACAATTGTTTTACATGAGAAAGAATCATTAAAAGAACAATTCACAGGGGGAATGTCACGTGGTCTGAAATGAGCAATTTGCATACGAAAGTAAAGAGGTCTATTCCAGAGAGCAAAGGGATTGTATCGTTCCGCCATGTAGCCACAGGCAGCCCATGCTGTACTATGGGCGCCGGCACGTGATCGTGCAAAACCTCTATAGGTAGTTTAGTTTAAAATAATTCGTAACAAAGAAATAATTTAAGCACATAATTCATGTGCAATAAAAATTGTAATTAAATGATATTTACTATCAGGTCACATGATGTATGTCCACCATGTTGGATAGAAATGGCGGCCATGTTGTTTCATGTAAAAAGGAGACGGATAACGAATCCCTTTGTAAAGTTCAACCAAGGTGGCGGCTATAAAAGCCAACAACAGTGGGAAGAAAAATAGAAGAGATGAGAAGAAAAGAAAGCATATGGAGTTTCGTTGGATTTCGGCAATGGACTATGTATAATTTACCATCGAACATGGGGACAATGGTCATGTGACCTGTTAATGAAAATTAATATATTTAGCGATTTTGAACTAGAGGTCCTCATTTTTCTTCTTTGGTTGTAACAACTTGCCATCCAAGCACACGTCTGTCGAAACCGCACGAGAAAAGGTTACATCCTTTAGTGCTGTTCTCATCTCCCCAAGCTGTACAGCACACCATCCTTTGATGACCCTGAAGACAATTACAAGAATACAAATCATTATAACATAAACAAATTGACCCTCAACACACAAGTAGGTTGTTTGTTTGATTGATTGATGATTGATTGAT